TATCTATCTATCTATCTATCTATCTATCTATCTATCTATCTATCTATATCTCTATCATTTATCATCAATCTTTCTCTCTCAATCAATCAATCTATCTCTCTATCTTTATCTATCAATATATCAATCTATCTCTATCACTATCTATCATCTATCCATCCATCCATCCATCTGATGGAAAACTACATATAGCGTTTATCTACAGATAATTTCTTTGGCAAATTCAAAATGAAACAATTGGCTCTCCTTATAATATTTCACTCTTGATTCACGTTAATTAGTTTTCTCATAAACCTCGAAAATCACAAGTTCTTGCAATATTTGAACGTCTTATTTCAAACCGAGGCTTATCTGAAGTTTTCAACAGCGTACAGAAAATATGTTCCTTGGCTCGATCGGAAAGCAAGAACAGGCGAAGCTGAGAAGAAAATTCAATAAAACTACCACCATCTAGGGATTTAAATCCAATAACTCTAAAGTCCAAGCCACCAGTTCGTATCAAGATTTTGCTTAACATAAAATGGGAAGATCCTGGTATTATTCTGGCATTGCAAAGAACTCAGACTGAATGAAAATTAAAGCTGAATAAGACAGCAGCAAAAAGAATTACAGAAAAAGGACAAGGGACTTCAATTCTCCGAATAATGCAATATTAATAAAAGCTGGAATCATTGTTCTGAAACTTCCTTTTAGAAATATAAGAATTGTGGTATGTCTGTAATGAGATAAAAAGGACTATAGAACTGTGGCATATGAATCAGTATAAATACACTGCATTGTTTGAGGTGAAGGAAAGATTAAAAGATCCTGATATGCAGACCAACTCTTCAGAGGAAATAAGGATGGATAATAAGAAGGAGATGGCATTACAGATTTTGTTCAGTCAGAAATACTCAATCCTTCTAGGGCAAACGAACAAACACGACCGGATGAGAATGAAGTATTCAATGGCTGGCATAACTTAAAAGAAATAAAATTGTAATTATAGATAGTCCTCACCTTACGATCACAACTGAGCCCAACATATTTCTGTTGTTCAGTGAGACATTTGTTAAGTGACTTTTGTCCCATTTTACGACCTTTCTTGCCACTGTTGTGAAGTGAGTCGTTAAGTTAGCAACATCATTGTTAAGTGAATCTGGCTTCCCCATTGACTTTGCTTGTCAGAAGGCCGCAAAAAGGGATCACATATACATGTATACATATACATACATACACACACATACAGACACATACATACATATACATACACACACATATAGACACATACATACACATACACATAAATATATATGTAAATACAGATAGACAGACACACACACATATAAAATCTTCATTTAATGACTCCATAATCCCTTGCAGGTTGGAATCTGGGCAACTGAATGGAGCTAGCAAGAATGTTTAATGGCTGGATGCCTTTCCTGTCACCAATGCAGAGTTTTGTTCAGCAGATATATTCTGATAGTGCCCAGAGAGAGAAATATCTGCCTCTACCTAGGATCGAACACACAGCCTCCTGATTGTGAGGTGAGAGCTCCATCTCTCTCTCACACACACACGAACACCCACCCCCCCCCATGTATCTCTCTATATATGTAATGTAGGTATATGTATGTTTGTGTGTGTTTGTGTGTGTGTGTATAGAGCATCTGCTGTCTGCTAAACAAATAAAACCGCCAATCGTGGGCCTGTTACCTGTTTCCATCTTGCCGTCTTGTGCTGCTGGCCCATCTGGAATGACACTCTTCACCTGGAGAAATTCGTCGGGCTCGTCCCCACCGATGATGGTAAATCCGAAGCCCATATTGCTTTTCTTGAGGGTTGTGCTGAGGAAGCTGCCTTTCAGCTGGGAGGCGTCCCGGGTGAAGAGGGGTTTTTCTACAGGAGCCAACAGAAAGAGAGACATGAGACGCTGGGGTCGCCCTCCCCTCCCCGCGGTGGTGTACACGCGCACACAGACACACGCAAGAGCTGGGCTTCACACAGTGCAGCGAAAGCAGCGGCGGGGACAAAGTGGCGCTGGTACGAGTCGAAGCAAAGTAAAAGTGCAAGCGATTTGAGAGAACCAAGAATATTAGTGAGTTATTATTATTATTATTGTTGTTTATTTTTGTTCTACGTCAAGCTAAATTAACCAGCAAGGGGAGGATTCGTTTATCTAAAGTAGTTTCCCATTTGGACTCTTAATGAATTCTCTGTTCATTCAGAGTTGGGACTTTTTTGGAACGGTGAGAAACTGGCCAGAGGGTGACTTCTCAATTTAATCAAACTATCGCATTCAAAAATAAAAAAAAATAATTTGCAAAAACAATCGGAAGACGGACTTCTCAATCACACAAAAGGGGGCCACATGCATACGTTAGAATTGTGCGTTTTTGTCTCAGCACATTTTCATCTTCCCACAATCCACTTTTAGAGGGATCCCTTGAGAAGGGTGACCAACGAGTAAGCCTCGGCGGATCTCAACCGGTCCTTCATGAAGTGATCAGATCATGGGAAGTGGTGGTGGGAAAAAAAAAAAAGCTAGGTGTTCAATTTGTTTTGTTTTTGTGTTTTTTCCAAGGTGGGGAAAAAAAAAGAATTCAACACACTACTTTTGATAAAAGTGCAGCCCAGGTAAACAGCAGCACTCGGACGTACCATACAGTCTGTACATTCCAGCAATATCCCGCCGATATTGAGACAGGTCGCTCACACTGCGAGACCTCTGAGGAGCAAGGCGCGGGTGAACATGTTTGGGCCTAGGTAAGGTTGATGAGGCGTTGTCTACTGATATAAAGGAGAAGAAGCCTCATTCTTTGCGTAGACTCTTAGGTCAATACTTAATCTCTGCACCAATACAGACGGCTAATCACCCTTCATTCCATTGCGTGCATTAACTTAGTCACTGCTAATATATGCATCGTTCATTCTCCCACCAAACAGAGCATCGAGTCACCTCGCAGAGGTTAGCAAGGCAAGATAACAAAGTGTCTCTCAACTTAAGCTCAAGAGGTGAGGTTAAAAAAAACAAAAAGAAAGGAAAGAGTTCCTTGAACGGAGCTCAACTCCTGGGTCACTACACATTCGTGCCAATGTTCGCATCCATGGGTCACTGCCTTCTTGTGGTAGGTTCATAAGTTAATTATGCCTGGATGGCTTCCCACTGAAATGCCAAGTAGATCTGTGTCTGCTTAGCTTTTTTCAACCTCTGCTAGGACGGGCCATTTACCGTGGAATGAACTCATGGAAAAATTCTTCCATCAGACTCCTATGCTTATCTCTAGAGCCATGCTGGTGCAGTGGTGAGAAGGCAATATTGCAGGCTGACTCTGCCCACTGCCAGGAATTCGATCCTGACCGGCTCAAGGTTGATTCAGCCTTCCATCCTTCTGAGGATGATAAAATGAGGACCCAGATTGTTGGGGTCAAGAGGCTGACTGTAAACCGCTCAGAGAGGGCTATAAAGCACTGTGAAGTGATACATAAGTCTAAAGGCTATTGCTATTATTTCTGCAGCTCTTTTCAGATAACCAAGGCCAGGTGAATGGTTTGTGTCCTTTACCCAAGTGCCATCTGGTTGCTAAGATCTGTGTAGATCAAACATTTGATCAGAATTAGGACAGGGGGTAGAAGAAGAAAGAAAAACATCCTTTTCTTCTTAGGTCCTCTAAAACAAATAAATAAAGCTGTTCTTGGTCCCCAGATCAGTGTCTCTCTTGTGGGCTACTGGAATTTGGAAAGAATGAATAAACCTCCCCTTTCCCCTGGGCCAATCTTGGTCCTTCTTTATCTCATCCTCCACAGTTGCAAATAAAGGAAAAGAGAACATACACAATTTAGTATCAGTTGTGCACAGAGGACAACGGGACCCAAAGAACCAACTGAGGTCATCCCAGAGCCCTGGTAGCACAATGGTTAGAGTGCAGTATTGCAGACTAATTCTGCCCACTGCCAGCAGTTTGATTCTCGATGGCTCAAGGTTGACTCAGCCTTCTATCCTTCCGAGTAAAATGAGGAGCCAGATTGTTGGAGGCCATAGGCAGACTGTAAACCACTTAGAGAGGGCTTGGAAGCACTGTGAAGTGTTATATAAGTCTAAGTGCTATTGCTATCCCCGCCGTGGTGAAGCAGTGGTTAGAATGCAGTATTGCAGGCTAATTCTGCCCACTGCCAGCAGTTTGATTCTCGCTGGCTCAAGGTTGAAGCAACCTTCCATACTTCCAAGGACGATAAAATGAGGCCCCAGATTGTTGAGGGCCATAGGTGGACTCTGTAAAGTAAGCCACTTAGAGAGGGCTGTAAAAGCACTGTGAAGTGGTATATAAGTGCTATTGCTATTGTTACCTACCCATTGAAACAGATAACAATACACATACTCTTTCCTGGTGTGTTTGCTAAAAAAAGACAGAGTGGAGTTTTAGTGAACCATGATTTTGTGATTTTACTTCCTAAGATAACTTGTGCTTCCCCCTGGGACTCAATGGCCCTTTTCCAGTTGCATCTGGACAACCCTCTTACTATTATTTTGAATTATATCTTTCCCATTCTGCAGTCTAGCAAAACAAATCTTACCAGCAAAACCAGTCACAGCTTTGTTTTTAAAAGAATTGTTTCCCACGTTGAGTTAGAAAGGCTTACCATGGCAATATTGAAGGAAGCTATTTAAACCAATACTTTTACTCCATTTCTATTAGTTCTGGAATTTTAGGAACTGTGATAACTAGCCACAATCTTTCAATTGTTATTATTTTTTTTTCAGAGGGAAAAAAAAATGAGAGTCTTCAAAACCGTGTCACAGGTATCACACAAAACTTCGTCGAATTGGTCCCATCTGAATTGGGTGCTGTGAGGTGATGGTGTACCTCGGAAACTTTGGACTGGCAAAGGCTTGATTCCAAGTTCTGCGTTGGGCATGGTACGCTGCTGTAACTTCCTTTTGGCTTCCAAAACAGGATTTTCAAATTGGGTCCTCCTATTTATGTGGCTGAAAATATAAAGAAACCCATTGTCAACTGAAGCGATCCCTTTCAAAAAACAAAAACACAAAAAAACCCGGCCTCGTGAAAACCTGAATTGACCGGACTTCAAGAAGGAGACCTACTTTTGGTGCCAATTGAAGGACCGGGGATGTGATGACCCAAAGGGGTGTGGCACAAAGGCAACACAGTCAGATAATCAGTAGGAGTCCCTTTATTAACTCCAACTTTGCCCCCAATGTCCTGGTTTCTTTCTGGGCTGGAGAAAAATTATCCCAGGAAAAGCCTTTGGCCGCAGAGAATCAAGTCCAAAACGTGGTCAACAAAAACTGTAACTATAAGTCCAATCAAGGCAAAATGAGGTAATTAATTCAACAGGGCAGGAGCAAGAATTCCAGACTTGAGGGCACGGCAATAACTCAACATGATTGGAAAGACGCCAGGAACACAGTTAAGCAACGTCAACACAAGATAAACTCACATTTGCTCCCAACAGCCTGCCCCACGCAGCCTGCCTTTCTTATAAATTGTTTCCCCAGGTGTGCCTAGTGAAGGGAATCAGGGCCCTTTCCTCCCCCATAAGCCATGCAACCCACGTTGCTCTCTTCTTCGTTCCTCCCTGAATGCCCTAGGATGAAGAGGGGATGGGCCTCGGTCTTCCTCTGAACTCCCTCTCCCTTGTTCTACCTCTCTCCTGCTCTACCTAGCCGGACTTTGCCCTTCTCCTTTTTCCTCCACAAGCAACAGAGCCACACTCCTACTTCCTGTCAGCTGTTCATCTTCCTCCTCAGATTCAGACTCAGACAGGGGCATGACAGGGGATGTCATGACACAAATGATGAAAATGATCTGCTGGTGTCAGTTGTGTCATGTTGTCATCTCATGACATTCTGACCCAAATGACAGAAATGAATTTACTGTCACAGGGTTGCACCTTCAAGGCTTAATTATGTGTGAAAAATAAATTACATGTCAACAACGTGTAAGTAGCTTTAAGCAGGGCTCTTCAAACTTGACAGCTTTAAGATTTGTGGACTTCAAGTCCCAGAATTCCTCCTCCAGTCATATTAGCTCAGGAGTTCTGGGAGTTGAAGTCCACAAATCTTAAACTTGCCAAGTTTGAAGACCCTTGAGCTAAAGTATCGGGCATTAAAGACCAGGTTCACATGTGAAAGTTCAATTAAAGTACTTCCTTGCTAAAAGCCTATATACAGGAACCTGCTCAACTGATAGGAGTTAGATAAGGTTTCATGGAATTGAAGGGAGGGGGAGGTTGGACTTCTTCACTTGTGGCTACATAGGGATTCTAGGCCAATGCCTCTTTTGACTCTGCCCCCAGATTCTGCTACTCCTTCTCCTACATATGGAGCATTAATAGTCAAGAATATCAATGTAAGTCACAGGATGGAAAACTCGGATAACTCTTAGAGGCCAGGAAGACTGGGTTTGAATCAGAGCAGAGGTGATATTCAGCAGGTTCTGACCAGTTCTGGAAAACCAGTAGCGGAAATTTTGAGTAATTTGGAGAACCGGCAAATACCTACCTCTGATTGGCCCTACCCCCATCTATTATCTGCTTCCTAAGTCCCAGCTGATTGGCTGCATCGTCTTTTGTTGCCCTGCACAGGAGAACAGAGCTGGAAAGCAGGTTAGTGGGATGGGAAGGGAATGGAGATTTTGCAGTAACCTTTCCTTGGAGTGGGGTGGGAATGAAAATTTTACAGTATCCTTCCCCTGCCATGCCCACCAAGCCACACCATGCCCACCAAGCCACGCCCACAGAACTGGTAGTAAATTTTTTTGAATCTCACCACTGAGTCAGTAAGTTGAGGACTAGGTGGATATGTAATTGCATGTTGATTATTACCATGGTATTTTGTTTGCAATCAGGAATAATGGCTCTTTCCCTTGAAAATATTTGTTATCAAATTTCAAAGAAGAAAATAAAAATAAATTTAATGCTTAGGCAGTTGTGCTCAGCACAGAATTTTAAACAACACATAGATTGTGGCTTTGGAAAAATCCAGCTAATATTCATAAACTGCAGACCAAAAAAAGGAAAAAGGCGGATTAATAGCAAAGTGTAAGGCTGGGGGGATCCATTGTCTCCAGTGGAGGAATTTCTCGATGCCTCCTTGCCTTGTGATCAAATGCACTTGTCAGGATTCCGGCAGTTTAAATCATGAGTCTTGAGCCAAACTTCCAAAACTTCAAAAGGATTTATTGGGAGTTAACATGTCCGGCACTGCCTGGGTGTAGCTGACTCTGAGACACATCACTCATTGTCAATCTTGACCCTGGTTTCCCCCCACCCCCTGGGAGTATCATAATTCATATTCTCCAATGAGACACATCCACAGCCATGTATGTTTGATTGGCGATTATAGAACTACATGATCAACTAGTCAGATCGGGGGAGGAGTACAGTAGTAGAGAGGAATTGGAACCGACAAGCTAAGAAAAACAATGACAGGAAAGGAAAGGAAAGGATCAGGAGGAAATTGGCCAGTCCTTCCTTGTTTCCAGGGCAGTACCGCAGCCCAGATCTAAACACTGGATCGGGCCCCCGGGCCTTGAGTTTGACACCCCTACTCTACAGACTTACATTGAAGCACTCCTCCCCACCTTTTTTTTGTACAAAGGGCCTGGCTCAATGAATTGAACGTTCTCCGTTCCTGAACATTATTTTTCTAAGATTTGCCCCATACTGCTTCACCTCTGTCTTCCTTGCTTCACTGAGTTGCAGCTATCTGCTCACAAAGTCCCTTTGCTATATCGCATTAATTCTCCCTGGTGCACCACATGAATTATACGGGCTAATCTTTATTGGAAGTAATATTTTGGACAGGTGATTTATTGCGTTGAGCCTTGTGCCTTGGATACATTCCACTTGGATGATCAATGGTCAATAAGAAAGGCACGGAGTGTGGAGACAGACGACCTCGGAAGTGGATTAATTTAGGAGAAGAAAAAATCAGAACCATTATGAAGGAGAAACTAATGCGAAAGCTGTAGGCAATGGAACATGTGTTTCGTCAGGGGTGGGATTCAAAATTTTTAACAACTGGTTCTGTGGGTGTGGCTTAGGTGGTGGGCATGGCTTGGTGGTCATGTGACTGGGTGGACGTGGCTTGGTGGTCATGTTATTGGCTGGGTGTGGCCAACTCAACATTACTCACATCGAGGCACGCATCTCCTCGCCTGGCCTCTCATGACTGTGGGGATGCTGTAACAGTTGTAAGTGTGAAAAATGGTCATAAGTCACTTTTTTCAGTGCCATTGTAACTTTGAATGGTCACTCCACACAAGCAAAATACCAGCAAAGGAGGGGAAAAAACCTCCAGAGACGTTCCTAAGACAGGAAGTCTAGTCCTGCCAAGAATGTAATAAGGCTTAACGGAGAGGCAGTTTCTGTAAGCAACACAGAATGTTTCCTACCTGCCTTCCTTACAGGATTAGACCAGTAATTTCTTCTAACAACCGGTTCTCCAAACTGCTTAGAATGTTAACAACCGGTTCTAGCAAATAGGTGCGAACTGGTAGAATCCCAACCCTGGGTTTCATGAACAGCAACTAATGGTTAGCTACAAGTAGTCCTCAACTCAGGGGTGGAATGCTACTGGTTCTGCCCAGCTCTATAGAACTGGTAGCTCTGAAGAGCAGCAGACACAGAACTGATTCTGTGCCTTCTGCTCTTTGGGCCACCCGCCTGCCCGGGCTCTTACCTAACCTTTATTTCCTGCTTTTTCAACCTCAACTGCTTTGCGCAGCACAGCTGAGGTTGAAAAAGCAGGAAAAAAAAGGTGTTTTCCAAACATTGTGCATCCGCACGCAGTGCTTATCAGCTATCCAGGAGGCTCAACTTTTGGTGTATTACATGTGTACACAGCGCGCGTCTGGCATGAGTGCATGTGAAACATAAGTACCAAACCGGTACTAACACTGGTTGAATCCCACCCCTGCCTCAACTTACACAGTTCACTTTGTGAATGTTCAAAGTTACAATGTCAACTCGTAAAGCATTCCTATGCCTGTTATAGAGTTGCCATAAACAAAGGGGGTGGGGGGGAAGGAAATCTGAAGGAGCAGGGCGGCAGTTTAAAACCAGAAGTACATTCCAACACTTATCTTACAAAGATTGTAGCTAAGGTACTGGATCGTCTGCCCACGAAAATCCTTAATTGGAGAATGTGCTTGATGACACCCAGCCCATGAACATGCTTCATTGGAGAATCTGATTTATGACACATCCAGAGGGGAGGGGGAAACAGGGTCAGAGGTGACTGTAAATTACGTATGCCAGAGTTGGATTTATAGAGGTTAATGCCAGACATGTTGCTCCTAATAAATCTATTGGTTTTTTTTGAAGCTTGGCTCGAGGCCCATGATTTAATTAGGGCAATCACTGGAATCCTGACATACAACAGTACTGAAAAAAAGTGACATGGCTGTTTTTCACACTTATGACCATTGCAACATCCCCATGGTCACATGTTCAAAATTCAGAATACTTGGCCACTGGTTCGCACTTATGACAGTTGCAGTGTCCCGGGTCATGGGATCCCCTTTTACGACTTTCTGACCAGCCAAAGTCAACGGTGAAGCCAAATTCATTAACAACTGCAGTGATTCACTTAACAAATGTGGAAAGAAAGTTTATAAAATGGAGAAAAACAATCATTTAACGAAGGTGTCTATGGAGATTCTCAGTCATCCAGGTCACGGATGTCCCAAAGGTGCCCCCCCCCTTTTTTTTTGCAAGAGGCAATTGGACTTTCTGGTTTTTCTTTGAAGATGTTTCACTTCTCATCCAAGAAGCTTCTTCAGCTCTGAAGAACAGCTCTAAAGAAGAGCTGAAGAAGCTTCTTGATTGAGAAATGAAACGTCTTCAAGGAAAAATAAAGAAACTCCAAGTGGCCTCAACGACTCTCTAAAAGGATGCAAATGACCAATGTTCGCAAGGAATATAAATCCTTCCATTCCCCACCTGTATCCACTGTCATGCCCT